GGTGGGGGATTGTAGAGAAAAGCGCTGTGTGTGTGTGGTGACATGATAGAGGAGATGCTGCCCAGGTATAGGATTCTTAAAAAAAAAAAAAAAGAAAAAGAAAAATCAATGTTTTGCTGTCCTTTCTAATCTGGTTTCCCTGAAGATGCATTACCTAGTTGACATGTTAGCTAATAGCTTAGAGGCTATAGTGTTTTGCTTGGTGGTATGAGATTTTGTTCCCGGGGCACTGACAACAAATTAAAATGCTACTTAAAAACTCAAAATCTGGAACTCGAGTGCCTATGAAATTGATCTGTTTGGAAGGGGCTTCTCAATTTATTAACATTAGGATAAGGAGGGGGTGCTTCCATGTGGCTTAGAAGATATGAGAGAGGGAAAATTTACGGCTTTCTGCCTTCCGGGAAAGGAGAACCTTTAAAACTTTGCAGCTTACTGCGCTGCAGCTGAATTCTTTCCACCTGTCTCCGAGCCTGGCAGCGCGGGGCAGAAGTTTATTAAGGAGATGAAAGAAGGAGCTTCTTGAATTCTTAAGCCCAGCTCCTAAGTTTTCCAAAGAGAAAACCTGCAATAATTGATGTGATTCCGATGACAGAGCACCATGGTGATTGGAACACTGACTTCGGGGCTGCATCCCTTGTCAGTTTGTGTTAATGTCCAGGCAGGAAAATGCTGGTTGGTGCCCACATTGGAACCACAGAGATGCCCAAGCGTGTGCATGTGCGCATGTATGCCTCTCTATCCCTGGGTCATAGTCAGGAATTCATTCAGCCTTCAGAAAAATAGAACCAAATCTGGAGGATGTGTCTCATGAGCTTGAGTTAGCGTGAGCTATCCTTTTTTGTCCTCCGCCCTCAGCCCTGCTGTGTCGAGGCATGGGCGTATTTTGCCCAGTCTGTGGCATGGAGTCCTGATGAGGAGCATACAGGGGGAGACATGGGAGTTTTGCACAGGTAGCATGACATCAGGCAGCAAGGTGTTCTTTTCTGGTCTGCTTCCTGTTTAAACTTACGGTGCACAAGGATTTTTGTAACTTATGTGCATCTCTGCTCCCCGGAGTATTTGGAATCACCTGGTGAACTCATGCTATCAAACACGTATAGAGCCTACATTCAGTTAAGAGAATTCCCTCTGACAGTTTATTTTTGTAGAAGCCATGTCATTAGCAAGCAGCAAGCCAATTACTTGAGCTGCATTCTTAGGAAAAAAGCTCTCTTAACTGCTTTGCCCACAGTCTGCTGGCTCTTAATTACCACAAGCTAAGACAGTGGCGTGTTGCTGGGTTCGAGAAGAACAAGCCCCCAGCTTGGGGCTTGTCCTTTCCTTAGCTGAGTGCCAGGACAGGGATGATGGTTTTCACAGCATTGCTGGCACACTCTGGCAGCTGCCGTAGGAAATCCGGGGGGTTATCGCCAAGGTCTGCTGTTGGCAGTAGAGCGTTGCTAACATCTGTGATCAGTGGGAGCTCCATGCAGGTGGGTTGAAAGCTGTTTCCCTTGCCCAGTTTGAATTTTGATGATGTCCTGCCAGAGAGACAGATGATTATGGGATTTTTCTAGTGGGGTCGGAGGGAATCCATGGGGAAGCTGGACGTCCCTGTACTGGAGCGCCACTTCAAGTAATGACAGATACTGTCAGTTATGCAGGCTGCATAATTAAAAGCACACTGATTGTGCCTGCATTGTGGTTCACTTGGATGAATCAGTAGCACTGTAAATACAGTGTCTTAACCCAAGACCAGTGGTTTTGTTGTTCTCTTACAGGCTTCTGACATGGTTAGCTGATGCATTCGTGACTGACAGTTCCTCTTGCCATTATACCTCTTTTTTTAAAAAAAAGTCTTCAATAATTAAGTAGTTGGGTTTTTCTTAGAACACAAGGACTTATTTATTTTTTATCTCATTTTCCCCCCTAGATAGGCCCTGCAACTTACTCTTAATAAGCTATTTCACCTACTAGATTTAGTTTAAATGTTGAATGTGTGGTTTATATACTCACTGGGGGCATGAACTGCCTTAATAAAATGTTATTAATTTAATTTCCAGACTTCCATAACATCAGGGATTTTTTTTTTTTTTTCTCCAAAATTTAAATGTTGAATGTGTGGTTTATATACTCACTGGGGGCATGAACTGCCTTAATAAAATGTTATTAATTTAATTTCCAGACTTCCATAACATCAGGGATTTTTTTTTTTTCTGCCAAATAGTGGAGAGAAAAATAAAACATATTCTCAATGAGGTGTTAGACCTCTTTGGGAAACTTAATTCTGTGGCCCAACTTAATCATCCTGACTGAAAACTTATTTAACTGAGACTCTCAGTATAAATCACACACAAGGATCATATGTATGAGAATTTAAAACTCTACATAGTACACCAATTTTAAGTCAGCATCCACCTGTGCTTTTCTCCTAGTTCCATTTCCCAGTTACTCCCTCCATTCTCCCTTCTTTTCTGTCCATCCACCTGTGCCTTCATCTGTCTGTCTGTCTATCCATCATGTCTCTTCATTCATTCATCCATACATTCATCTTTTATCCACTTATCATTCATTCACCCATTGATTTAGCAAACTGATATTGACAACCTATTGAATATCAGGTCTGGTGTGAAGCCCTGAAAATACTGTAATGCGTGGTAATCCTGGCACCTCTTTTGAGGAGCTTGCAGTCAATTCATTGATCATGCCTTTCAATAAAAGGATTCCTTGTCACAAATCACCAAAATATTTAATGCACTCAGGCCATCAGCAGATATTTATCGAGTATCTTCTTAGTGCCAGACTCAGTGCCAGTCTTCAACAGGAACTACAACAGAAAACATTCCTCCCCTTTGGAACTGAGGAGATGGAAACCATGACTCTACTTCTCCAGGCAGATCCGGAAATACCCTCACCTCACCTCATGGGGATTAAAGTCTAAGGAGCATGTACTTTCAGAAATTCATAAAGCAGAAACACACTACAGACCCAAGTACACACACAGTCAGAGTCATTCAGCTCTTAATTAAAATTGTGTATGTTAAGTAGTCGTACAAAGCCAAGCCCTAAGATTGAGTTAAATGCTGTGATTGAGCTGTGGCTTCCTGTGGAGTGCCCCAGCAGCTTGTGCAACATGGAAAACCACGTGATTTACTTATCTCTTGTCAGATGCAAGAACGCATATTCATTAAGGAGACACAATTTTCCCAGATACTAAAAAACTCTTCCCACAGAGTTTTCACATAGGAGGACATTGGATGTGGTCTAGGCAGTCTCTTCAGCAGCCTCTTCATAGCGAACGTAGCAGGCCGAAAGGTAGTGGCAGTGACAGGTTTCTGTTTCGTGGTTCTCTCTCCCTTTCCCGTGCAATAAAAGAATTTGCCCAAAGCTAGTCATTGAGAGGTGTAAGAGAGAGGCACAGAGATTGTCAGACAGTGTGCCCGTTGAGAAACCCTGGATAATCAGTTTGTGTACTCCACCTCTTTCTCACACTCTCCCAGTTGTCTTGCCATCTGCTGTCCTCTTCTTCCCTGGCAACCAGCTCAGTAACAGACCCCACCAAAGCTCCTACAGGATATAAGGAGAAGCAGTGAGAGTGGTCAATGGGGAGAGGAATATGGCTGTGTAAGTCATCTCCTTGCCTCTCACCTCCCCCAGCCAAGGCATGTTCTCGAGCCTCTAAAGCCCTGGAAGACAGGCTTTGTCACTGTATTATTAGATTCCTTTAAAACATGCAGTGTGACTCAAAAATTCATTTTCATAAACAATCAATGCTTTCCTTTTCTCCTCCATTAACTCCTCTTACCTGCCTCTTTGGAAGAAATTGTTTGACTTAGACCCATACACCATAAAAGAAAGGAAAATATGGACATACTCTGCGTTGGCTTAGATTTGAGTCTCTTGATTTTTCACACAACC